ACAATTCAACAATGATAAAACAATTTGCATAATTTAAATGCTGATAAAGACTAAATTATACATTGAAAGTTGAAATTAAACTTTAATATATATAAAATTTTCCCTAAAATATCAACTATTTTGAAATGGATGGAATATGTCTGATTACAAAGCTTTGAAAAATTTTCTAGTTTTAACTTTTCATCGGGCTAAATCATTATATATCAAGTAAAAATCAACCTCCTCCATTAACAAGAAACAAATATTGGCCTACACCATTATTGACTTTAACGCTGATTCTCACGGAAGTATTAAGTATATAACTATATATATGGTTCCATATTTCAGTCAATGAATAAACAACACTTACGATTACATATATAACACGATAGATGTGCCTAATCTAAATCGCATACTTTGACAAATCTATATCGCGTACATACACGAAAGCACACACATGAAACATAACAAAAGACATATATTTGTCTTTGTATACGGATACAAATAAACAGTCATGGACATGAAAAAAACGAGACACGTTGGGCATGCTTTATACGATTGTGAAATGTGTCGGAAGAGAATGTGACATTTATCAGACATTGGCAGGATCCCACCGCAAAATCAACGCGATCTTCGACCAAATCAAAGTCTCTTAGAGAAGAAAACAGGCAGGATTTTGAAAACATGGTTATAAAGGAATCTTGAAGGTGGGTCCAAGATCTTGGAAATTTCTTCCCAGCTCTTTTCCATGTAACCAATATTTCTCACTCTGATTCTCTGCCATTATTCATATCTTTCGATCTCTCTCCTTTCTTTTCTCTTTTGACAGACGTGATTGATTTGGTACGATAAACTTTCTCACAAACTAAGATCTTATCGTTAAAAACAATGAAAAAAATCCAATTTCGAATGTGGAAATTGATTTTATAGTACTAATTTTGATTAAAACATAGTTTTGGTTTTATCGTTAAATTGCGACATATGCTATCAATCACTGTTTTTTATTTTTATTTTTTATTTTTTTATTCATAACCAACCCATCATTAAAATCTGGTCTAGAAATACTAGAAATGTTTGAATTTACAGCTTTAAATTTTATTAGTTATGAAAATGAGTTAAACACATGTTTGTTAACATTTAATTTTTGTTTCCCTCAAAATATATAGAGTTGAAATCGAGTTATATTCTCCATTTCTTTTTCTAGTTAAAAATTTAGGCATTTATGTTCTATAATCTGTTATTTTTTGTTGAACAAGAGATTAAATTCTACAAAACATAACAGCATGTAGAACATATATGTCGAAATGTTTTTAAAAATCCGTATAAACCGGTTAAGCCAACCCAAAAGATGTAAACGATAGAGTAGACTGTTATAAATGATCGTGGACAGCGTTGGACGAAGTGGTCATAAGTGTTCTCTTGTGATGTTTTCTTTTTCTCTACTTCTTCACATTCTGAGATTTTGTTCTTGCAACTAGATTCCCTTACATATTTAATATATTTGCTATAGAACTACATGAATTTATATAGAATACCATTTGTCAGAAAAAGAACAAGAGATTAAAACTTGTAAGAGTGGATAGCGATGCTTTGATACGGTGACGTATTATCTTTTTTGGAAGTAAACTTTACTTGGTCGAAGTCAAGTGGGAAAGTTGTACGTAATCGGCCTATGAACGTCCGATCGAATCTAGGAATATCTTATCAGCTTTGCAATGTGTTATGTGTGGACCCACAATATCTATCAAGCATCGAGAACCGGGAATCTAACGTAACCGGCCGGACATTTTCGTACCTTATACTTTCAACCGGTTTTGGTTTATTCCGGTACAGTTTGTCCCGAAGCAATCCATTTTCACTGTTTGTTTGATATCAAGCGACAACAATTTATTGTTCCTCATAATAAGTACCAAAGTTTTACCAAAAAAAAAAAATAATAATAAGTACCAAAGGAACGCAGTTTAAGTAAACTAATTTTGATCCAACAAGATCAAAATTTAGCTAGTGTCGCTAAATTAGTTTAAGGTTTGTATATTTTGCTATCAACAACAGATATTAAAATATAATTTTAGCTAGTGTCGCTAAATTAGTTTAAGGTTTGTATATTTTGCTATCAACAACAGATATTAAAATATAATTATGAAGACAATCTTCAACAGTATATTACTATATTTTAATATGTTTTACCGTAATAGAAATCTTACAACTGATGTAAAATGAGACATAAGTTAGTTCACTTATAGAGTTATAGGTTATAGTTAATTGATTATAAATTGAAAACTTATGACTTCTTATATGATATTATCCAACTGATATGGTATGTGTATATTGCATAATATGAGTATATTGCATAATATGAGTTTTAGTAGTGATATTTGGTTCGGATAGACTAATAAAAACTTTTATTTCAAAAATCGTGTAAGGAATTCTATATTTTGAAATAATATAAAATTTAACATATATATATATATATATATTGCATAGATCGATTAATTTATTGTCAATTAGTTTTGAATAGAAAAGTACATAAAACTTGACAGAATATAAATAAACCAAAGAATATGATACAAGATATGTTATGTATATCATGAAATCACATAAAAATTGAGAATATGAGCGAATTCACTAAGCATGCATTCTATAATATTACTACTACGGTACTACCAGTTTAACGTTGTTACTTGTTACTTGTTAACGTTGTTACTTATTAACTTGTTATGTGCCACAATATAGTGGTGGTCTGGTGGACGCGAAGGTGAATGAAATGGGCTATGGCCTAGCTTTCTCTTAAGTCTCAACTCTTAGTGTTATAATCGGGCCTTCTATTTTCGCTTCATAAGTTTAATCATCACCTAAGAAAATATGATTTGGGGCGAGCATTAAAAAATGCTAATAAAAAGTACAATGTCTGAGCCCAGGTTCGAACTGGGGACCTCTAGTGTGTGAGACTAGCGTGATAACCGACTACACCACCCAGACGTTGATGCTCATAGGAGTGGTATAATCAAAATCTATCTGTAGCCAATGTTTTCCTTCTTTCCATGGCTAACAATTTTAGAAAGTAACGATGGCTAAACGTTAAACAATGATAATAGGCAATACCTAAATAATTAAATCTTCTGTATGTTGTTAAAATATTTGTAATTTTCTTAAGAGAAGTCTATTTAATAGAGAAAATTATTCTTGAATTCAGCTCACAGCTTTAAATAAAATGAAAAAAATATATTTTGAAGTAATTCGGTTAGTGAGGAAATAAATATATCTTTAATAAAATGGGAGAAGGAAACGAAATTGAATTGAAGTTTGAAATTGTTTTGTAAACCAAAAAAAAAGTAAAGTAAAGAGATAGGGATGATGTGGTGACTAAGGTGCAGATTAAATTAATCAGGAGATGACAAAAAGTCTTTTTCGAGCCACGAGTAAAACATAAAAAAATACAGATCTGAAGCTGTAATCGTGTCCAAGAATATTTGGCTGGGTTTTGATTCGGATCACTTGATTTATAACATCTCGGCGTAGTGGAACGTGTAACCCGCCTGCTGTCTCATTCAACTACATTTGTTCCTGTAATCTATAGCCTAACAGAAGGCAGCGTCGAGGGGCTTTAGGAACTCGACTGAAAGGAGAGGAAACCCTAATTATTACGACGCCTTATCTTACAAGTTTTGATTTGTTGAACTAATTTCTTCAAGTCTATCCCATAGCCATAGGCCCATAGTCAATGAAAATGTACGAACGTATACCAATAAAACAAATAATTAAACAGTGTGGATGATTAATACAGTCCTCAGATTTCTGAAAATATCAGCTTCTAAAAGATATTTTTATACACGGACATATATGTATATACTGTTTAAGATTGGTTGATGACCAATTTTTATACTATTTTTTGCGTTGTTTCTACACCGTTAATATGTGATTGTGACTAAGCATCTCTACTCAATTGTTTGGTTTTTGGTTTTTTTTTTCCACTTAAATGTTGTTGAATAGTTATTGCTTTATACAATATATATATATATATATATAAATATATGTCTTTCTTAAATTAATGAATAATTTAATGTTCTTAAGCTCGATCTTAGATCTTAGATGTTTTATTTAGTATAATGCGGTAAAGAGTGATTTTTCTAACCGGAGTCTCTAGCTCTGATGGTAAAGGACCTTCAGCTGAGGTATCCGCCATCACGAGTTCGAACCTCAGTCATTGCGGAATTTATATATGGGCTGCAGCGTTTCAGGAGCCGACACGTGGAGTGCCATTTAGCCGCCCACGTGGTTAGTCTGGACCCACCTCAATGGGGCCAAGACACCTGAGTTATAAAAAAAAAAAAAAAGTGATTTTTCTTTTTTTGAGAAAAGGTTTAAGAGTGATATTGATAATTTGATATGTTGCTTTTGCTTATAGCAACTAGCAAGTAATTTTTTTGACTAAATGAAAAACAAGAACTTCTTTTTATATAGCAAGTAGTAACTCCCCTAACATCATTTTATAAGGGCAGCACTTAATGATCAAAACAGTTTCATATTAGATTTCTTGAAAAATACTTATTGCTGATCGTTGTGCATGTAACTACTTTCATTAGTAATCCGGACAGTAACGAAACAATAAAAAGAAAAGGAATTTTAAACAAGGTTATTTACGAAATGCATTACAATCACATGTATAATGGCATAAATCTGACAACGAACGAACAATAATACTGGTTACTTAATACTTATGTAATATTTTTTGTGTTAACAGATCACGTATATTCTTACAATTGTGTTACAAAATAATAAGATATTCGGATGCAGGAGAACTTACGAATATGTTTTTTTTTTTAAGACCCGAAAATATCATGGCATGAAAACAATTTTTGGCATAGAATTAAGTTTTAATCAGAGTTGGTTTATAAAACCAATTCAAAGTTCAGTTTAAATTAGTATCCTTCTTATATGCCTCTATAAGAGAAACTAATAATTTCATATTTTTCACGTAATATTATAAATAAGACTTCTACGACAAATCAAATAGAATAAAATAACCCGACAACAGAAAATATTTTTGTTTAAAAAGGAGAAGAAGAAAAGGAGAATCTAGGAAACGTACTAAACATCTCGAAAACTACCAAGTAGATGAACAGTAGAATTTGGACGAAAAATAACGTCCAGATCCAAAAATAACGCCACATTTCGCTAAGCAACGACGTTCTTCATTTTTTTTTTGTCTATTATGACTAAACAATAAATGACTTAAATACAGGGGCATTATCGGCACATCCGATTTTGTCCAGTTCTGTGTCTCCTCTATGAAAACGGCGGAGGAGGAGGTTTAGCATTTGGGAAATATAATCTCCACCAAGGGGTATTTAAGTAATTTGGTTCAATTGGCCTTGAGCATCTCCTTGTACCTCAGAATCGAATCGAGTCTCTGTAGCTTCAGCTGCTGTTTGAATTTGTTGATGAAATCTGAAGCTTTCGCGTCGACGCAGTCTTCTCCGTCGCCGATCGACGTCGATCTCTCGACTCTGGTCGTATCTGGTCTCCTCCGTTCGATGGATTTCACCGTCTCCGTCGCCTCTTGGCTTCCGTTGAAACCAAAACCCGATTTCTCGCTCGCTGATTTCGTCATCTTCCCCGTCGCTTTCTTCTTCTTCTTCATCGGTTTCTTCGATTCCGATTTGCTCCTGACGTGCTTGTGATCTTCCTGAATAACCGAATTCGGATCCGGATTTTGATCGGAATGGATATCCGGGTCGGATCTGTAAAAGGAGGATAGCTTGATGGATTTGACCCGTTCTAAGATAGACGGAGCCCGGGTTAGACTGGGCGGGTCAATTGGATTATCGAATCGGGGCCCAGACGGCTGGTCTTCCTCCGGTATCCTGAATTTTGAGATATCAATCGGTTCAACCCGAACCTTACGGGTCGGAATATTTTCGAACCGGGTCGGTTCCGTGTGATTAGCATAATCACTCTCCTCCGGGTTATACTGATGAAATTTGAAATATGACATGTTGATGGATTTGACCCGGTCCAGAAGAGAAGGAGCGCGTTGTAACGGAGCTGGATTCGGGTTTGGATCATCCGGGTGAGAGTGAAGATCCGACCCGGTTATGTCGTTGGGGAACTTGAAATACGACATGTTGATGGATTTGACCCGATCCAAGAGAGAAGGAGCGCGCTGTAACGGTGCCGGATTCGGGTCCGGATAGACGTGAAGATCCGACCCGATTACATCGTGGTGGTTCGTCATCGAGAAAAGCTCTGTTTCTGGATGAGGAAATTTGTAGAGATGGAAATTGATGGACTTGACTCGGTCGATAATCGAAGAAGCTCTGGTTAACGGAGCCGGAGCATGACCCGATCCAAATCCATTGTGATGCGGGTGGTGATTCCTTGAACCTGACCCGAGCCGAGAAGTGAGAACGATTGTGCCAACCATGAGATTGAGAAGGAGGAAAAGAGTTGTCGGAGTGAACCAGCTAGCCACCGTCGATATTAACTCCATTTTTGGTTGTGTTTTATCTTGTTGTCGGAAGGAGAAATGAACATAAGGACTATATTTATATTTGAAATATTTTTTTGTTTTGAGCTTTTGCGTTTATTTGTATTTTTTCCCCTATTTTGCAACTTTTTTTGCAGTTATTTCTTGGGTCATTTTTAATGGTTTTGTATTTGGAAACGTCGAAAATATTTAAAATTAATGTGTTCACATGAGACGCACGTGTTTTATATTTATTTTTTTCTTTTTTTTTCTTCTATTCATATATCGTTCAAGTTATTTAAATTACATATTTATATTTTTCACACGAACAGCTCATTAATAGTCAGACTATTTTTTTTTTTTTTGAGGATTGAGGTAGTAGTTATGTTTATTGATTACTCCGTGAAATTCACTACACGTTAATGCAAACTTTCCATCACACATGTAGTACCAAATACACGGTTAGATTTGCTTTGGAATTCGCAAGCAAGTTTGTTTCTTTGACATTTATTAGCAAGTTTGTTTCTTTGACATTTATAATAATTAATAATGAATGTTGAATACTTACAAACGAAATTCAAGATCCAACTTTATCCTACACGACTTCAAAATGTTTAGTTTCGGTTTGGCCCAAAGAAATTTCAGCTTTTTATCTTAGCATATATAAAACCACGTTATATATGTTACTCCTTCTATAACGGTTATGCATAGTAAAAACTTCTTTATACGGTTAATAATTTTAAAGCATCTTTAAATGCGGTAAAACAACAACAAAAAAGCTATGATAAAACTGTAATGGAAAAGAGCTGGAAACAAGTAAGATAGAGATGCTCTTTCTTTGACTAAGAAAAGTGATGTGTAGGGCTCATCTTACTGTATATTCATAAAAGTTCCAAAATTATTGTCACATGACATGAGAGACACATCTCAATATATGTACTTATATAGACCACCCAATTCATCACGTTTTTATCAGAATGTTATTAGTTACAGGTTACAAGTAACTAATAAGTCTTTATTATTTACATTAAACAAAATTTACGCCTAAATAGTTATCTATCTTCACTTTAGGGTTTCCTGGTCTGGTCTCAAATCTAATGATTATTGAGCTTAGCTACTCCAACGGTATAACGTTCCATTAGTGGAAATAAGAAAGATATAATATATAAATGGTTTCTATTTTAAATACTGTTTGAGACAATATATATACCATTTTATTAAATTTTATTATATCTAATAATGCACTGCAATTTGAATTGATTTTTCTGCGACTAGGGAAGTGTACTGTTTAAGGATTCATGAAATATATAGACTATTCCAAGTTGAACGTAAAAAAACAATATAGTGATTTTACTGAGGATGCTTTACTTATGTGGGATATGGTCACTTGAAATGCAACGAACTAAAAAGCTAATTTCTATATAAAAAAAAAATCTTCTTCAAATTAATATTTTAAAGAAGACAACATTTACTCAAAATGTGGAGTCGACGATATCGCGTGGGTGCTAGCTGCAACGCCGACCTTTTACGGTTGACCTTGAGTTCTTACAAAAATAATTTGAAAAATATATTACTATAAAAAAAGTTGTTCCATTCCTAGTTACGTCTCTCAAAAAATAATACATGCACTTTTTAAAGTTATTGAATACTTGCATGTATCTGGCTATAGCCACATGGGTCGCCGTTGCGGCATTTACTAAGTATAAATTTATAACGATGTATAACGAACAAATAATACATTTTTTTTAACATACACGGACTTTCTTGTAATTCAATCAGAAGATTTCAAGATTGTGACTTTTCGAATTAGTATTGTAATGAGGATAGTACGGATTTAATATGTTGTGGACGAATAGATAACCTTTCTCGATTCAATCCAAGTTCTGTGTATAGAACTTGAGAAAATGTTTTCGAATTAGGACAATTCTTTTTTTTTTTTTTTTTTGGTTTTTCTCTTCGGTTAGAATTTTCTTTTAATATGTAAGACCTACATATCTTTCAAATACAAGACCAAATCATATTATAATCCCAAATATCACTCGTTCTTGTAGCAGTCGATCTGAATTAGTTGGATACGTACATATAGAAAACATAAACTATAAGTTTTCCAGTCATTTTAAGATTAATTTAAGTCTTCCACCCTATAATCCTTTCATCCTTGTTCCTTCACCAGTAAAACAATACTCTATCTACTGCAATTTACTTTATAGCTGTTGTCCTTACAACTGTTGTTGCTGGTCTTTCTACATTTTTTTTTGCACCTATACCCACTGTTCCGAAATTTTTGCTGCTGCACCTGAGGCGCCAATCTAGGTCGTGACATCTTAGATAATTCCTTACGTTCTATCTCCACTTCCCAAGGTACTCTCTATATGATGTAGTTGTAAACATGAGCCTGAAATTAGTGCAGGTAAGGACGTTGTCCATGGAGTGGTTGGTATCGGAGACAATCCTTTCGCTCATTCAGACAGATGAATCACAGCATGATGTAGACAAATTGATAGTCTCTGGTCAAAAGATCTTGAGAAACCGGTCTTGTTTAATCTTCACAAAAAGAATAAGAGATGATCTATCCTCTTTTTAGTATAGTGGTCCTGGGATCCAAATGTAATCCTCTATCACCAGTCACTAGTCCCCTAAATTCTCCCTGTCTTTGCTATGCCTTATATTTTGGGTAGGTTAACGCTCTCTCTCTCTCTCTCTCTCGTCTAAATTATATTGTTTAAATCCTCGTTATGTTTGTGTTACTAAACTTTGTAACTTTCTGTATGCTCCAACGATCATAACATGAAATTTTTTTAATTTATCAATCATAAATTTTTTAATTTATCAATTTCTTTATTTTCAATTTAGTTTTATTTACTTCATTTAAAAAATCATAGAGCTGAAGGGTTTTATAAAATAAAGATTTAGTTGATTTGATTCGATTTCAATGTCTATTGAACTTTTGGTTCAAATGCATGTATCGTTGAATTTTTTTTTTTTTTTTTTAATTCACAGTGACTTGGCTACTAGCTAGTCTACTAGAACCATCGGTTGACATCATGATATCAAATATTCTAAATTTAAATTTGAAAAGTGATATACTATATAGTTTTCGAGTCCGTACGTGGATTGTATGTTAACCATGACCATCAACATATATAGGTACGCAGTCTCGCTTGGAGTTGGACTCACTACTTTGTCTCGTCCTATTGCGCAATATTTTTTTTCGGATAATTGTATAACCTTTTTATTGTCCACTTGTCGTATTTTGTAACACGATAATATAATCTATACATATTGTTGAATATATGTGTCACGAATATTATATATATGGCATATTGACCCTTAGCAAGGTTGCAAAGGTTACAGCACATGCAAACTCCAAAGCACACACGAACATTCATTACAACAAAAGGACAATTCAGCAAACTGAAAGAGGACACTGTTTTAAATTATGGATTCCCAAATTTTCTCTAAGAAAAACATCAATTTAATTTATAATATTTAGATACAAATACAATAAAGTACATCACTAAGATATAAGCTTTTACAACCGCAATAATATACTTTTATTATTATAGTGTTTGACTGTCCTTTTCTTTTTTTGGTTCAGTGTTTGACTGTTATGTTTACAATCTTTTACATCTCGATATATTGTCGATTTGTATGTTCAATTGTTCATCTTCATTCGATTGCCTCCAATACTAGACTATGGAATTATGCCTATCTTGCAGACCATTTAGTGTATATTTGTATTCACTAGATGTACATAGAAATCTTTTATTAAAATATGCTATTCATCCCAGACATACAATAATTCTTGCACATTTATAATTTAGCCATAAAAATTTTCAAAATCAAGCGGCTCACACACAATGTTAATGGATTATGGATTAGAGTTTTATGCAGTGCGTAGCCTAAGAAGTAAGAAACGTGGTTACCCAAAAAAAATCTGGAAAACTTGATCATCAATTAAAGATCTTCAAAATTATGTTTTTGGTAAAGGTTAAAATATGTATTTACCAAACCAACCAATGTTTATGTAAAGATCAAGTGAATACTAATTTGAAGAAAAAAAACACGACAAAGCAGTTCAAACTCTTTCTTGTTGTTGGTTAAAACGCATGTTGAGCAATCCGTAAACCGAAGTTTGGGATGAAATACCATTTATACCTTGATAATGGAAGAGTCTTAGATAGTTTTAAATAGACGAAACTAGTGGGTTAAGTATTAAATCCCCAAGTTCATGATATCATTGCTTTCCTCCTAGCTTACAATTTTTTTTCTCTCCAACCTAAATTTCATGGGTTTTTGTAGAGCATCTTATGGCTATTAGAGGAGGAGGAGGAGACGATAGAAACAAGAAAGCTAGAAGATTTATGGTATCTAAAAGACATATATTATATATATATGTTATCTAAAACATGTCACTAAAAATTAAGCACAAAATATGTCTTTTTAACTTATATAATTGAATTTATGCCAAAAAAACTGATAGAAATGATTTTTTTTTCCCTCTTTCTTTTTTGTTGTTAAATTTGCTGGGATTTGTTAAGAGAAAAGAAAACAAAACTTATGACTATATTATTTATTTGGACAGGCTGAAGAGAAGGGAAAATTGTCAGTGTCCTATGAAGAAGACTCAAAGGAAGATCTAAGATAATAAACTAGTTTTTTCTGAATAAAAATATAGATTAGTGTTTATCTATATATTCTAACTATTGTATTGTTTAGATAAATATATATAGCTGTCTGATACTTTGGATAGGAGAGAAAGTGAAGGAGTAATCTGCTAAATGCTGTCAATGTTTTGGCTTTCACAATCATGACACAATAACACATGATTAGGATATTGCACAATGTTTGTGCGCAATGTTAGTGTTGAATTTGATGACATTAATTATATGTGAATTTCAATAACTTACAAGTCCTGAATGTATCCCTGGATATTTCTTTTCACCAAGTGCTTTGTGTCAGATATGGATTTGATTATCATGGTATACATGTTGGATCATCCAGAATTTTCATGGTGAATATGGGAGTATTGAATCAAAATGGCTTATTAAAAACGTAACTATTCGGGCTATAGCTATGGTGATAGTGAGAGCCATACAAGCTATGGTGAAAGCCATACAAGCTATGATGAAAGCCATACAAACGCTGCTAAATATAAAGCTATATACTGGGCTATAACTATGGTGAGAGCCATACAAGGGGCTGCTAAATATAAACTTGCCGGAAAAAAATCAAATCAAGGAGTTATCAATTCAGCACGTGGTGAACAAAGTTCCTTACCGGATAGCTGATGCAACATGCAGCTCGAGCCGGTGTCCTCCAAATACCTTTGATTCTAATGTTGTTGAGAAGTTTAAAAGCAGGCATCCACACAATGTAAGAGTATTCATCAGAACTTTATTAGAATTTTTTTGGTGTTTTAATGATAAATTGACTCAACACTTTATACAGATCCATACTGAAACGATTGATGGATTTTGAGTATATTGCCGAAGTGGATGACGATGAGCTTAAGGCAATTGTGGCACAACAATCGGTGATTGGGGTACTGCGCAATGTTGATCTTGAGTTCTGTGAAATTGGATCGGTAAGTTTCACAACTTAAGTTCATAAACATACAAATTATACCTAAGATATATTTTCTTAGCATGAGTAAATTGCTTGCAGGGAATTTATAGATCGCCGATTGGATCCTTGGATGTTAATTTTCACCAAGTCCTCATTGTTGGATATGGATTTGTTGATCAATATGGTAAACCATATTGGATCATCCAGAATTCTTACGGGGAATCATGGGGAGAAGGCGGTTTCGGATACGTGTATCGCCTAATCAAAAGGGGTCGTGGATCAGAGTTTCATGCAGTGGCCTATCCTACGAAGTGTGGCTATCCAAGAAAAAAAGATGGAGTATAATCATGTAAAAGGTGAGAGTTTCAAATTTCTAACATGCAAATGCATTGATATGGAATCAATATTGTTTCTTTTTTTTCTCTCTCAATTTTCTTCTAATCCAACTCACGTTTCTTTTATTCAGGTGTTTGTTGTTTAGAGGGAGCTTCATTAAAGATTCAAGCTTTTTTTTTGGTTTTTGGATATTCAACCTTTATAAAAGATTCAAGCTTTTTTTTTTGTTTTTGGATATTCAAGCTTTATCTGGCTTTCACATCTCTCCCATTTTATACTCTTTTGTTTAGTTTTTTTCTTTCTTTTGCAATAGTGGCATATGCCTTAAAAACCCACTCTAATGATACTAAAGCACCATCATTGCATCACTTTTTTTTGCTCTTTTTACATATTTTTCACATGTGGTTGTTCTTTCCGACAGATTCACTTTCATCGATTAATAATAATTTGTCAAACTCTAAACTATCATCATATTCCATTGACTCTTGGAAGATGATTTTGGGTCGCTTTTAGCCTCTAACTTCAGCAGCAGGGATCCGAGTGAAGGCAACGTTGGGAATGGACCCAGATCCTGGACCCGTTACGGTGCACAATATGGTGGGTAGTCCTGCAAGCACCAAACAACTGAAACAAAAATACCATATATATTGAAAAGAGAAAAGAGAAACAAAAAAAAAAAAAACCCGCACATATGTTTTTTTAATGAATGAATTAAATTATAAGAACAAAAAAACAAATCCACGAACAAGATAAACGAATTGAGAATTATTTAACTCAAAAGGCACTGAAGTTTTTTTAAGAATATGGAAAGAACAAGTTTAAGTCTGTTAAAGGTAACCATTTTTAGTACCTACAAATCAACAAACTCACTGAAACTAAAAACCAAAATAATATCATATGACAAAGAAGTTCGCGATCATCAGTCACATGAATAATATATAATTCAATCTTTTTTATCATCACTCCAAGGAGCACAAATCTTTTCCAGGCCCTTTCCAAGAGAGCATCCGAATCCAGCTTTCTCCTTCTCTGGTGAGACAGGCCGGGCACGCAAAGGCGATTCAGAACTCTTAGATGAGTCAGGACGCAATGGAGAATCAGAACCGTCGTCAGTCTCTTTCTTCTTGGGATGGATGGTGTCGATGACGGCCTCGATCTCTTCCTTGGCTCTCTCGAAAACATCGGGAGCCTTCACTTCATCCACCGGCGTGTTCTCATCGATGTCATCACTCTTCCCATGAGTTTCTTTGTGATGTTGGAAATGACGATGAGGTTTCTCCTTGGAATGGAATAAAGATTTGATCTCTTCCTTTGCTTTTCTTATCATATTCGGTTTTTTCTTTCCATCCTCTGTACATGTAAACCAATGTGAAACAAAAATTGAGTCTTGAACAGAAATTATCACATTTTGTGTCCACGTTCAAATCATAAACAAATGATATTGCTATATTACTCAATCAATTGGGTGGTAACCAAAACCCTGTAAACTCAGTAATAACAAGCGTAGAATTGCTATCCGAAACAAACGTAAAATAATTTGATGCTGAGAGAAAAAATTTGAACCTGATTTCTCGGATTTGAATTCCATCTTATCAGATTCGTCCCTGAAACAGGATTTCTATAACATATTAGCAAAACCCCTGTACACGCTCGCTCACTGATGCTAACATAAGCATTGCAGAATCAAATTGATCGAAATCTTCCTTTGTCAAAGCATTAGACACAGAGAAGCTTTAAGGCTTGTCACAAAAGTGTATCAGAAGAAACAAACCTCGAGCTCTTGTGTTGATGGATAGCTCCAATAACAGCCTCGAACTCCTCTTTTGCTCGTTCAAACATGTTTGGCGCTTTGACTTTACTCTCATCGATATCAGCTAAACACACACACAAAAATTTCGTATAATACATGAGATACTACACAACTTATCCACGGTTCTGTTTAACATTACAGTAACACAACCAACAAGCATAGCTAAGTTCCAAGAACATAAACCATCGTTAATAATGTGGATTAAACACTTGATTGTATGGATTGGCTCCATGAATGGCTGCTAAGAATCTCAAGAGCTAAACGAGATTCATGATGAATTCGAGAAATCTAGATTCCAACATGTATTATTTTCCACCCATGGCAATCAAACGCACAAGAGAAAACAATCATTTGATTTGTCAGATGAATATCCTCAATTAATCACCATTAAACCCCAGAGGCCAGAACTAAATTTGCGATGATAATTAACAAATTCGCTTCTAAGAATCTCAATTCAGAACAAAAAAAAACAGAAGCTCCTCATCAATTTTTAGATTCATACATTTTTCCCTGCTCCTTGGCGATCAATCGCACCATAGGAAAACAACGAATTCTCAAGGTTTTATCTCTTCCAAACTTCCAATTCGAAACAAAATCGAGTCGAAATGGAATAAACACGAGATTAATCGCATCGAATTGATTAAAGCAAAGAACAAATCAACTAAGAGCGAGAGTTATCGCATCGAATATGACTATGAAGAAACATAAACCTCGCGAAGAAATTACCAGAAACTGTGTTAACACCAGTCATCTTCTTGCTTGGATGATGAGAAAATGGGAGAATCGATGGGGCTTAGGGTTTATCTCTTTGAATGTGGAAATCGATTTTCTGGGAATATCCGTTGAAGGAATTTTCCTTGTGCATGATCTCCATAAGGCAACATAGAATTGGTCTATTTGAAAACAACCACAGGAGAGCCAGACTAGATTAGCATAATATTGGGTCCCACACTTCTAATGTTTTATGCTAATTATAAGTAATTACTAATTGGTCAATATTTTATCCTCGTTTCTTAGTTTAGACCACCACATAGCCATCTTCTGATGGGCCTTCATTCATACTAAAAAAAATTATTGGGCCTTTAGAAGTATCAAGGCTCTTACTATGATCTCTAGACACAAGGGATTTGAGAAATTGCTTATTTTCCCCTACAATTCACAGTATGTAAATTAAAGTATTCAACTGTAATTTTTCATAAAACTAATCAACAAAAATCAAGTTGTATTTTGAGTCTCATTTATTATGTCTACAAACAAATCATAACTAATCGGTGTTTAAACAGTCATCTAAGTTTTCTATGAACTAAGTCTAGACGACACATAAATTTCTGATTTTGTTTTTTTTATATGCTACAAAAACTAAATTGGCTCAAAATAAATCTTACGTAAAGGTTATATCCATATTTTTTCCCTTCTATATAATTTACGGGGTTAATGTATAGAGAGAAGTAGATGCATCAATTAGAAGAATAAATTGGTGGAATTGTGTATTCTTCTGAATTTTTTACCCCTTACAAATTACAATGAAAATATATGGGAAAAAATTCCACTCAATTTAACTGGAAAAGCTAAATTGTTTATAAATTTTTAAAAAGTTGTTCCTCTACTATTTTCAAGAACAATGATTGGAACAAAAATATTTCTCGATCATCTATATCATGCTCATCTTTATTCCACTCAATCTCACAATTTGGACTTATAGTAGTTACTGGCTAACTATCAACATGTAAAAATGAGCATATATGACAGATCTTAGCCAAATCTACGATGTATTAGTCTTTTAGATACGAAGCTACAAAGTTTCGATGGATAAGATTGAAAACTTCAATATGTAACTTGTTTCTTGACCGTGTAGTTAGACTTAATTAATCAGTTTGTAAAGTTGTAATTCTGCCTTAAAGGCTATAAATTGTGTTTCTGACTTATCGGTGCGCAGTTTCAGATATCCAATTTCAAACTTTGACCCTTGGTCTTGGGTCAATCCTAGACAAAAGGGAAGAATGATCATATAATATATTTTACTCAATTTGAAATCGACATTAAGAAATGTGGCCAGCTCGTCGACAAAAGAGAAGAATGATCATAAGTCATATGTAAAATAGATCATAATATGAAATCGATATCGAAAATGTGACTGTCTAGTCTTTCCATATTTATAGCATCTGTGTAATATTTTAGACTTAATGCTAACGCTTGATGTAGTTTTTTTCACCCAGGCGGGACCATTAAATTCTCAACAACAGAAAAAAAAAAGTAAACAAGAATATTCAAATCGAAATACACGTAATTACGGTCTTACTTGTTGACTAATGTTAATATAAGTTCAATGATCCATTATTTGGGATGGTGTTTTACTTGGTAAATAAGTAGGCATAAAGTTTTACCAAAACCCTTTTATTACGCCACGAGTAGTCTTCTCAATGCCCATTGCCCACAAGGCAGCAATCAAATACAAAAAAAAATATTTTAATATAATCATACAATATATTTCTCTAATTAATGAAATACTAGGAATTAACCCGCATATTATGCGGGGTAATATTTTTTTAATTATCTTTAAATTTAATTTATTTTTTTTGTTAAATTAAATTGGTGATAATAGTTCTTTACCAAAAAATATAAATAAATAAAATTGGTGACAATTAGATAATAATACCTATATAAATATGACACAACCGATATTTACTTGTATATATATTATTATGCGGTTTAATTGTTAGTAACTTTTTTAAATATGAAAGTGATATGATATTAATATATATATACTTATATACATACCAACATGGATTAAAATCTAATATATATATATATATATATATTCATAAAATAAAAATTTAATTGTAAATATTTTATTAGAGATCAAACTATCATTTTTAATTAATAACTTATATAATATGTGTTAACAATGATTATATATAGGATTGTCAAAATGGAAAAACCCGTCTACTTAATATATTTCATAATTAACTAAACTATTTTTTGGCCAACCCGTTAAAAAAAATAATTTAAATTTTAAAAACATAATTTCATTTTTTATATAAATAATTGAACTGATTTTCGAAAATGATACTAAAATAATAATGAAAATAAAAATGGAAAATATTGCAAAAATTTAAATTGATTTTTTCATATATATGGATTGATTATTATTTAAAATAATAGAATATATTTTAATATTTTAATAAATAAAGAAATTAAATATACTTTTGATTTATATCCATATATTTAATTGAGCTTTCTATATTTGTAAAGTTTGTTTAAGTAATATCTTCTAAGTAAAGGTTTATTTATGTAATATCTTATAAATAAATGTTTATTTATGTAAAATATTCTGCAATATCTTATAAATAAAAGTTCATTTATGAAATGTTTACTCAAATAATAATAATATATATAATATAGAGATATGGGTTAGGGTTTGTCTTGTGATAAACCGGGTCGGGTTATATTTTAGTATCACAGTCGGTTTTGCTACTAATGCTCAGATACAATTGGACCGTAGCCATTCACTACAAGAAAAACATCATTTTACGACGGCCGAAATGGTCGGTAATTCGTCGTAATAGGGCCATTACGACGGATTCCCGACGATTTCAAAATCGTCGTAAACTCATCGTCGTAATAGACAAATCGTCGTAAAATCGTCGTATAATATACGACGACTTTGTTTCGTCGTAACATCGAGGCAAACAAAATCGTCGTAAATGCGTCGTACAATTTACGACGAGTTTACATCGAATTGCGTCCACTTGGTCTTCACCTAAACCGTCGTTAAGTAGTTGTTAATGATCGACGTAAGATCGTCGTAAAATGTACGACGCAATAATCGTCGTAAATCAGTCGTAAAGTATTTCTTCATTGCGTCGTAAAATCGTCGTAAATCTCGGACGTATAATCGTCGTATTTGTCGTCGTATATTATAGTCGTAAAGTTGTCGTAATATGTACGACGACATTACGACGGTTTGAATAAATCTATTACGACGATTATACGACGATTTATATATATGAAAAATAAAAAAAAATTAATTGAAAATTTAAAAAAAAAAATAATTCGAATTAAAATTTAAATAAAAAAAATAATTTACTATTTGAAAAATTTTAATTTACAAAAAAAACCCTACAGGTCATCTAAATCTAAATGTATATCGTCGATCCCGTCACCGGCCTCCTGGACATCGTCTTGGACGTGCTCCTTGCCGGGTCTTCGGTTTGATGGTCCCGCCGCCTGATCTCCGGCTCCGGCTGTAGGAGGGTCGACCCCGAGAGATCGGAACATCTCCGCGTCCGTCTGCACCGGCGGCGGTCGAGTCCTAGTAGATGACCCGACGGCAGACGATCCTCCGAGAACCCCATCCGCCTTCAGCTTGTCCAGCTGCGCCATGAGTACCGGGTTGTCGGCTCCCATGATCTCGAAAAGACCGTAGAGCATGTCGATCTTCGTCTCGTACCGGTCGATCGTCGTCTCGTACTGGTTCCGCATCTGATCGATCTCCTGGCGGATAACCGGATCCGCCGGAGCCCGGACGTGACCAGTCGCCGTAGCTCTCGGGGTATCACGGATGGACCCCATCCCTAATACCCGCCCCTTTTTCTTTGGGGCAACCTACAAACATATAAAAACATTATGGTTAGGAATATAATTAATTTAAAACTAAAGTTACATTAATGAAAAAAAGTATTCATAATTAATTACGTACCTCTTCGAAGATCTGGTCCATCTCCGCGACCGTCAGCGCCGGGGTCGATTGGACCGAGCTACCTCCGTCAGACGTTTGACGCGCCTGCTGAGTCAGCTGCGTCTGTCGCTCCTCGATCGCCGCACATGCGGCGTTGTAGATCTCCTCCGCCCGAGGATTCGTGAATTCGCCGTTACGCTTTTTATGCGTCTCGGCGAAAACCTTCGTCATCGGAGGAAGTTCTCCTCCGTTATCTTCGACCTACAAAATAAAAATGAAAAATTAATTAGTATCAAGAAATAAGAGTTTAATTATTAGTTGAGAAAAAAAATTTAAGATTTTTCAATGTGCTTACCATCATAAGCCGTCTTCCGGCAAAAGGAATCTGGCAGGAAGTGTGCGGGACGTTCTTCTTATTTCCCGCATCGTCAGTAGCGTTCCTGAAAAATATTTTGATTAGAATCTATTAAAAAAAGAAAAAAATAATGTAAATATTAATGAAATTAACTATGACTTACCTAGATACGGAACACTTGGCGGCGGTAGTCTGGTTGGTTGGATCCGACCAGAACTGGATAAGGCCCTGCCAGACGAACTTGGACATAGGCGGCGGCTTGGCCTTGTCGCCCTCGTCCTCCCACTTCCGTTTCCAGTCGGAAACTGTGTTGTTGAGGCGGAATTTGACCTTCTCCTTGAAGGCCGTCTCCACACGTCCGTGTGCGGATGGTTCCCAATGCCAGTTTTGCTAAGGAAAAAAAAAGAAGTTAGTAATTATTGTAAAAAGATAAAATATAAAAATAAAATTAAAGGAAAGTACTTACCGCAAAACACTTGAACCAAGTGTCAAGTGTGGCCCGATCCAGCTTCTTGTAGCTGGTATGGGGTTGTACGAAAAACCCCTTGATGATATCCGAAACGTTACGACCGACTGCATTGTCGGTCGTAAACCTAGTCAAATAAAAAAATAAATAGTTAATTAATATCAAATATATTAGACGAAAAATTAATTAATTTAAAAATATTGTTGGGAAAATTTACGTACCAATAGGTGCCGGGGGCTCGATCCGGGTCGAGTTTGTTCATGCTCCCACGACCGGGTTGCGCCAGAAGATCGTGTACCGTATACTGGGCATACGGTATAGGCGGGATAGGATCATCGTGATCAGGCTCGGCCTGTGCGGGAGCCGCTTGTTCGACTGGTTGTGGTGGAGGCGGTGGTGG